GACCCACCATCTTCAGAGTTGGTAGCACACCATTTGCCACCATAAGTTTCATCCCTTTCTTAGTCATAAGTCATAATCTACAATGCCATAACTATGTCTGTTTGGCATTCTCGTCAACAACAATTATATCTTGATAACTCATCATTATATAAAGAGTGCCTCTTCTGTGACCTCTACCAACCACCATGGAATCTTTCTTCACTCTTTCCATCACCAAAGTTGACGTTGTGCCCCGTATCATCAAGTTGTCCTACTGAGATCAGATCTTGCATCAGCTTTGGCACATGTCTAACCTTTGTGATCTTCCACACTAGTCCATATGATATATTTAAATTGATATCTTTAATACCAACTATGTCCAAAGGTAAGCCATCAGCTAGATATACCTTCCCATAATTTCCCACAATACAATTCTCCATAATGTTGTGGTGTGGTGTGGCGTGGAATGACGTTCCTGAGTTAAGAATCCAAGAATCGATCGGGCTATCAACATAGGAGATTGATGCTTTGGTGGTATTTACAGCTGCATCATGAGTTTCAGATTTTTTCAGAGAATCAACAGACACTAACAATGCATCAACAATTTCATGTGTAACTGCATTGGCTCCGTCTCTTTTGTTATTTTCCTTCTTTGATTGTGCCCAACAACTATTTTTGATGTGGCCATTATTTCCATAGTTTCAGCACTCAACAGGCTATCTGAATTTGGATTTACCCCTTCCATTCCTTGACTTTGATCTGCCTCTGTTTTGGTTCATTATGTTCTCGTTTCTGCCTCTATTTTCCATGTTAAAAGTAGAGCTCATTGATGTTTTGCCAGAGTCTATCCTACGAACTTCTTCAGCAAGGATACGATGTCGAACATCATTGAATTACAGCTTCTAAGTATCCACATAATTACTAACCGCAATCCTCATTGGTTCCTAATTATTTGGCAACGATGCAAGCAAAATCAGTGCTTGCACTTCATCATCAAATTCGATTTTGACAGATAACAATTGGTTGACAATCGTGTTGAACTCGTTCACATGTGTTGCAACAGGGCCACCTTCTTCCATCTTCAGCTGAAAGATTTTTTTTCATGAGAAACACCTTAATATTGGGTGAAGGTTTCTCATACATGTTTGAGAGAACTTTCATCAGCCCTTTCGTGGTTTTCTGTTTCGCAACGTTGTGTGCAACGTTTTTCGATAGTATTAACCTGATAACTACCAGAATCTGCATGCCAAGGAGATCCCACTCCTCCTTAGCCATTTTCTCAGGCTTCTCGCTCAATGGTTGGTGAAGCTTCTTTCCATCCAGATAATGTTCGATTTGCATTCTCCAAAAAATATAATATGTATCGTCGAATTTCTAGATATTGTGTGTGGAACCATCTTCACCTCCCATCGTTTCTAATTATTTTTACAAAGTATCGTAGTGTATTTGAACACCTCCGTTGACAAACCGATATCGCTGGCGAATTTTATTATTCACGAATTTACTATTTTTGTGAATAGTGACCTTGCATAAAATTTGATAAAAACACACAACTCAAACGCTCTTATACCAGTTGTTAAAAAATAAGGTCAAATTTCTGATAAATCAGATTTATGGGAATGATAAAACACACAATTGGTTAAAGGATTTCAACCAATGTTGCATACGTCTTCGAACATGCTACAGATCTTTATTAATAACCGAGAAAATTACAACACTCTCAACTCACACCCAAACCCAATTACACTCAAGAAATTACTCTTAATTTCTCACAAAAAAAACTTCCCTTCTTGTTTTTTCTCTTACGTTTTTTATTTGGGATTTTTGGATGGAGATTATGGAATGGAGAGCTCACGTATTTATAGAGGATTTGAGGAGGGATTGAAACGATATAATTTAATGAGACACAATTGTTGACTAGAAAATCAAACCTCCCATTTTTTACTTTGAACCTCCCTTCACCAACTTCCTTTCACCGTCCATTAGTAAAAACGTGACTAACAATCTCCCACTTGAAGACTAATTTCAATTTGTCTTAACACTTTGATCAATGCAGTAGGTCATATAAACTTGTTACTCTAGCAAGCAACCTAAGGTCGTACATAACATCAGT